CCCGGTTTACTATCTTAAATCGAGTAAACTAGAAAAAACCAGTACGATCAACGATCTTAAAATAGATGAGTGAGTAATATGAAATCAAACACACTAACGATCTTAAAATGTCCACACCACACACATAAGTTTCAAACAAGAACATACCCAAAAAAAAACAAACAAGGCAGAAAAACATTTAAAACACTAGCTAGTGATCATCATAACAATCAAGCACACGAATACATAAAACGATGAATTCTGAGTCTTCTTCAAGAAGTGCAAGTAGGCTCAAACGCGAAGGGACCAACAGAGAAGAGAACGTAGTCGTGTTCATTGATTTTGACTGATTTAGAAGGTTTAAGCATAGCACCGGTGGTTCCATTGTTGAGCTGTGACAGGACGGTGCATGTCCCCTTTGCACCCGCGGGACCGGGTTTCGTGGGCCAAGCTCGGCACGTGTGGAAAGCGTAGGTGGTGAGTTTCTTCGGAGCTAACATGAAGAAGTATCCGTTTTTGTCTGTTTTTGTCTCCATTGTCACACCTTTCTTTGTGTTGTTGCATGCCATCTTTACGGTCGCTCCTGTAATTGAAACATTTCATGGATTTATATATACGTTTTTCAGTAGTTTATGAAAGTTTAATTATTACTCCTTCTGTTCTAGGAACATAGATGATGTTTTAAAATTTATTATTGTTTCACAAAAAATGATGTTTTAGAAGTATTTAATGTTATTTTATTTGTAAATTAAAAAATACTTAATTTACATTAGTTGTATGAATATCAAATTTCTGAAATAGTATTGAAAAGTGTGAATAAAAGTTATACATTTATTGAAAATAGCAAAATAATTTAATAAATGTAAAAATATTAAAATATCATCTATTTAGGAACACTATTTAGGAACAGAAAGAGTAACATTTTACTTTGGGATTGAAAAACAGCAAATATCCAGAGATTAAAGAGAGACGAAAAGAACGAGATGAGACATTTTTATGCATGAAAGCCAAGTGGCATGAGAGACTTGACGAATGTAAACGCGAAAGCATGGTGATTTTTAACGATTTCAAGTTATTTTCATTTGTGTAAATTCTAGAAATTAATTTTTCCTGAATACATTAATTTTTATATATTTTTCGTTTTTTGTTCAAAAAGAAGACAGCAAACATCATAGCACTGTGTAGAAATGCAATTACCCTAACCTATATTATTATTATTGGAATCTAGTATCAATTTGTTTGATTATAATAATTTATTCAAGTTCTTTTCTTTCATACCAAAATCAATCTGAACATTGCATGCATCGTTAGGTTATCCAGTCTTTAACTTAAATTCAGGCAAATCTTCTTTTTTCTTCTGGACATGCTAATTATTAACTAATTTGAGATTTCACACCCATAACATTTGATAGATATTTTTTGCGAGAACATAATGCATGCATACATTAACATGCAACAATTCCAAAAAAAAAAAGGACAATGTCGATCCAAAGTGCAAGTGGGAAAATTAAGAAGTTACAGATCTACGACTACGAACGAAATAATTAGAAAAGGGAAAAGAGATCAGAAAGTAGAATGTAACGACCTTGAAGAGGAGATGCTCCTAAGAGAGTATCGATGCCGGAATACTTGCACGACTTGCAATAAACCATGCCTTGAACCGCCACAAGTTTCCGACTCATCTTCGTCGGCGACGGTGGAGTCACCGGAGAAGCTGATGAGATTTCATTGGTGTAGATAAAGGTCAAGGAGATTTGGAGGAGTAGAAGATATTTGAGAGCTTTTATTACCAAACCCATTTTTGTTTTTTGTCAGTGAGAGCGAGCTAGAGAGGAAGTAAGATTCTCTCATTAACTAAAGGTCATATTTAACCAAAGCAAAGGCAGTTCTAACTTCTCTCATTGGCGTCGGTTTATTATTTTTTCACATTCAAAAACAAAAATGTATTTCAAAAACCCATAAATATGACTCAAAAAAAATGTATACAGTATACTACTATACTCCATTGCTGACAGACTCACAGACATATATATATATATATATATATATATCTTTAAAGCTAACCAAAAAGTCCCTAATTGAATCCCGCTTATCATACATTTAAAGTATTATTTGTAACAAGAGTTACATAAATTTGAAGTTTAATCTTATATTTTCATACTTCTTGGAGATATTTACCAACGATTGATCATAAACTTATTTCCTTCAAGAATGGAAATATTATTGCGATCGCTTGACCAAAATGGGTTACTTCACCAAAATGTTATTATTACCTTTTGGTGATAATTTCGCCTTTTACCATTTTTTTGTTTGCTACTATCTTTACCAAATTGGTCACTTTCTCAGTAACAAAAACATTCATAAAATAGGCACTCCAAAGAAAATACGTGTATAGGTTTCTCTGCCTATAAGTTGACGAGTGGAAGGCATAATCATCATTTATGTAGTTTTCTTATGCTAGATACGAATTTAATATAAGATTCATTTATGGTGAAGATTCATGCAAATCCAATCTTTGAATATTTTTGCAGTGCTATTAAACGGCTTCAACAGCTAGAACCTATATTCAAACTGGACCACTCTCCATTGTAAAGAACAAGAATACACAAATCTAACTTAATTCCTTGTCAATAATAAATATATTTTTCTTTTATAAATATTGATCTGCATACTCCAGAAATAGTAAAATACCACTTATCTCAGTCATCTACTTTACTTACTAAAAAATATACATGAGATTTTCCCCATCTAATATATTTTTATTTTCCAAATTTCAGTTTTTAATAGTAAAGATTATTCTCCAAAATTGAAGAGAAACTATTTTTAATGTAGTATTGAGGAGATATGCCAAACTTTAAATAGTTTGTCGTCGAATTGTGCATATATACAAATTTCTGCTCTTTTTCTGATAATTTTTGTTTTGCTACAGATGTGCAACATTTAAAAACTAACTGCAAGTCAAACACCTATCTATATAGACATAGACGCTAAATTAAATTGATCACAAAGCAAATTAGCACAACAAAAAAGACTTCATAACATTATCATAATAATATCCTGCCATAACATAGGAATCAAGAACAATCCATAAAGGATCATACATTAGTCATAGTACATAGTAGTCCTCGAATTTGAAAATACCGTTGAGCATAATCGCACCCTAACTTTAATATCTTACATAAATAACCCTCCTCCCATGGGAAACGGAGTGATCTGGTCTTCTTCTTCTTCTTCAAACGAAAGACCAATTCACGAACATAAAAGCTAAACAGTGGTTTGATTCATCGTCTTCCAGAACTTTCCACACTGTTGCCTGCTCGTAAGACACCAATCTCCCCATACTTGACGCACATACTCCTGCAGGAAGATGAGCATAGCCCTGTAAAAAACAAAAAAAAATCAAGATTCCAAGTCAGACAGTGATTTTTCAAGAAAATGGCAAAACGTTTATCAGGAAAAGGAAAAAACCTGTTGCATGATCTTGGGGAACTCAGAGCAAAGAGCTTTGCGACCAGACTCGTCCAGGGTCTTGTCTAGCATTATGTCTTGAAGGGCTACAAGAGTAGTTTCCAGCATGTCTAAACCGGTTTGGTTTGCGAATGTGAAAACCGGTGAGGCCTGCATAAGAGAGAGCTATTGTCACACTCATCTCAACAAATTCAAGAACATGTCCATAGAAGCAAACCCAGTCATAAATAGTGCTGGGGAATAAAGAACCGAATGGGGAAGCCTAGTCACTTACGTTTGTTTTCAGGGAGCAGCACAAGATTGCATCAGTGTGATTCCAGAGTTGACGCAGCATCGTGTCACCACTGGTTTGAGAATCAGAGCCAAAGAGATCTGCACCAGTGTGAACTCTACAGCAACCAAAAAGCAGAAGAGTTTCAGATTAAAATAAACACTCAGATTTGAACATGTAACTAAATATTCCTAGATGGCTAAAGCACCTGTAACTCCGGGAGATCCACCGGACCAGAGTGAGAGCTTCAGGAGAAGTGGGAACAGAGATTGGACCGATATTGGAACCAGGACGAGGAGCAATGGCTAGAGCAACCCTCTGAATCGATCCCACTATGCTTCTCACATACTGACGTGCCATTGAAGCAACATTTTCTCTCGTGTGGTTATCAAATGTGAACTGGAAGGCTATGGTTAGTACCGACCTAAAGTTACAATCATTTTGGTCCGCTTCACCTGCTTGACGTGTTGATCCTTCTAAAGACGAGGCTAAATCCAGTGTGCGGTTCGCAGATGCACTGTTCTATATACATGACAGTGAAAAATTAGATTCTTGACTTAAGTTGGTTACACCTACAACCAAAATGGAAACCAAGAGGAGTGATTTGGATATTGACTTTATATGGCTTTTCGAAATTTTACCGGAGTTGATTTATGTTCAAGAGGTATGATGCGGAAACCAGAAGGAAGCAAGGGTGCATCATCAGCAAATGATTCATCGATAGGAGCAAAGACAAGCTGTGCACAACCTCCAACCACATTTTCATCAACACCGCTACAAAGCTAGACAAGAACAAAAGATCAGAAAATGTCAACAAGAGAACCGAGGAACCAAGAAACTTTGGAGGTGAAACTATGAAGTAAAACCTGTAGTAAGTACATATCCCGAGCTAAGCCCATGTCTTCAGGTGAGTAAGCATGACCTTCGAGTCTAACCACCTCAAGAAACTGAAACAAACAATACCGTAAAGGTTTCAGGACTATAAAAAGTATCAAGAAAGAATAAAGAGCGAATCTGCTTTATTCTTTTGTACCTCTTCATGTTCAACTGTCTGCGCGAGGGGAAGAATGACTTGGTTACTCGGGAACCCACCAGCTCTAGCGCAAGGAACAGCAAAAGGACTCGCTCTAAGAGATGCAGCAGCATAAGCATCCACACCATAATCAGCCCATTCAGAGCGATGTTCTCTAAGGAATCGAACCAGCACAGCGGGTGGAACATTCTTGAGACAAGAAAGAGATGCAAGTTAGTCAAACAAAGACCAAAACAGAACATAAGACTTTTCCATTAAACAAATCCTTTGTTCAAACATGTACCTGTAACAGCATAGATGCCTTGGCGCAAAGTACGCCACTACCAAAGCTCGGAAGGAATGAGCTACCGTACTGAGACCCACCAAACTTTCCAGGGGATAAGTTTATCATAACAGTAATATCCTCAGCACCATCACTACCCATTGGCGTCCATCCATCATCCACAAAACCATTAACAGCATCATTGAAACCCCTGAAAGTTCATTCATTTGAACATTTAGAAATGGAAAAGAAAAAAAAAAATCATTGGCAATAAAGCTATTTGAATTAAGTTGACACTTACCGACAGAGTCTTTGACTGAAGGTTCTTAAAACCGCCGGTTGGCGCCCTCCACCGTACTGAACTTCTCCACTTGTCTCTTGTGCAATTTGTCTTACATGTCTCAGAGCCTGAAATAAGAAACCAAACGTAAGAAACACAGCACTATCCCAAGTTGTTGGGGTCCCATACACTAGAGAACATAAGAACTTACAGCGACTGTCATTTTCTGAGCAAGAATCTTTGAAGATTCATAGAGAGGCCTCATAACTTCAGGGACACTCCAGGCCTAGCAAAACCAGAAAAGAAGTCAGGACAAGAACATATTGCAGAGGGATTATGTGTTATGTTCCAATTTGGGTCGTCACTTACATCCAAATCAACATGATCAACAATGTGGAGAATGGAACCACCACCCTCACAAGGACGGATGAGAAACCCACTTGGTCGCATCTCAGCTCTCACAAAGCTTGAAGAAGGTGGTCCAACAGGGCCACCAGTTGCAGAAGTAAGAGACCTCTCACAAACCTGAAGACAGTGAGTGAATGAAACATGAAGCAGTTTTTAAACCAGAAATCACATAACATATTAGCAGATCCAGAAACTTACCACGTAGCTTCCATCTTCTAAACATGTGCTATATCTCAGCGTCCAAAAGTCACGAGCTGCCGCTAATGTTGTTGGAGCATACATCTGATAAATAAATCAGAGTAACCAAAATCATTAGGTAATCTTATAAGGAAGTGAATTTAGGAGACTACAAGAACTGAGACGTACCTGTGTGTATATGAGCTCGATAGTCCCACCGTTTCCAGCAGGTATCACACTCAGAGTGTCCACACATCGACAATCACGGAGCCAAGATGGACGATCTTTGAGGATTTCAGCGACCTACAGTTTTGCAAATCAAGATTGGCTTACATTCTATTTATTTCCCCCTGATTACAAACACAGGCAATGAAACAAAGTCACACTTTACCTTCATGGGTTCTAAACTCACGAGGCCGCAGGCACGTGCTGCAATTCCGCTGCAGTTGCGCGAAATAGCGACGATGCCAATAGAATCCGGACCAGGCTACACCAATAAAGAAGATTTCATCAGATTAAAATATATTAAAAAAACTCATTTTTACACGCAACAAAGAGAACATGTTCTTGAAGTAGATTACACAACTTCAATAGTTTACCTTCATCCCAATCATCTGAACCCAGTCAACAGCAGTTCCTGTAGCCTTGGAAAGGAACTCTGCTAGGGCCTCCTCTGCAATCGAAAGGAGACTAAAACCCAAAAAATAAAACCATTAAAGTTGTCACAAAATGGCACACCGAATACAACAAGCCGAGAGATATGTAAAGCAGACAAGAAAATCTCACCCAGCTGGGTTGTTAGCATCACGTTGCTGATGCTGAGGATTTGGGTTTTGCTGTTGATGTTGCTGACCACTTACGACCACAGACTCACAGCTGTTGTCTGTGGTCGTACCAGAAGCCTACAGTCCAAGAAAAGGTAATCACTTTTTAAGCGAAAATCTAACACAATGATTCACAAACATATCACAGTGGTGGGAACTTGAGTTCAATAGAGATAAAATGAAGAGTTTACAGTGTGAAGTTGGTG